AAAAAAAAAAAAAAAAAAAAAAAAAAAAAAAAAAAAAAAAAAAAAAAAAAAAAAAAACTATCGCAATGTTCGGGATGTATTTAAAAAAAATGTTTATCTCTACAACTACTCCTTCGTAAATCGAGTATAGGTACTATATAATATACTTGAGCATTTCCGTACAAAAGGAGGACTAAGTGATTGCTGGCGAATATAGTTATTCTCGGGTTTCAGAATACCGAACACAGTATTGTGGAGTTAAGAAAACCCAGTGTCGCTGTGGAAACTTCAACAATTAATAAAAAAAAAATTAGTGCAATTGAAAAAAAAATATCAAGTTTCGTAAAACGGTTTTATATATTAAATACGGCGATTTTCATGGTTTCTATGTCAATATTAAAATCTACTGCTGGCAACGATTGCGGAATTACTTTTAAATAACATAATCTCAGGGGAATTTCCAACAATAATGTCAATACCGATAATTGCACCAATTGTGCTTTTTAAAACAATAAAGGCTGCAACAAACTTGTCGGAGCGAATATGCTTGATGGTGATGTCAACTTTTTGACAGAGATGGGGAATTTTTAAAAAAAATTCATTGAGTTCGGTGTTTTTATTTTTTTTTAATATAAGGTACCTTTTTTTTGTTCGATATTTTGTTACAATGAAGTATTAATTACCAACAATTTTCTAGTAAAAATAATATTCGTAATTTGTCATTGAATCATTTTTTAAAATGTGTTAAGCCCAAAAAACTGTATCCAAATCTGAATACAAGAAAATTTTTAAAAACGAATGTTCAATCAGATTTCAAAGTATATTCTTCGTACTTGTTCTAGAGAGAAATTTCAATTTTTTTTTTAAATTGGGGGATTACATAATATTATATCTTCCAAAAAGAAAAAAAAATTTTTATTTTTCTCCCAGAATCAGCCAAGAAAGCTAAAAGATATTTTAATATATCGAAGACACGTTGCAAAACTTAAAAAGGCTTTCAAAACATTACCCCTAATTTATCTAATATTGGCGTATTTTTTCGTATTTCTAGAAGATAAAAATCTCTACGAAGCGTAGCTTGAAAAAAAAAAAAAAAAAATTCACATGTGAAAATAATTACGTATCCGCTAGACTGAGACAACCCATTATCATGTGAAGAGCGAAAAAATAATAACAAGAAATCCGGGATTTCCACAAGTTTCACACCGTAATGGAAGCTATATCTCCGCCATGATGCGGACGATTTCCTTATGTCCGTATGTTCACCACCTGGGTGGTGAAAGAAAAAAATTGAGGAAAATACTCACGAGCTAAAACGGCATTAAATCCACACAAGAAGAGCAGGAACAGGAATCCCATTTTCCGATCCATGTGTAATTTTGATTCTCCTCGTTTGAAAAACGCAATCGGTGGCCGTTGGAGCGAGTGAGGAATTAAATTGGATAATAGGGCTCGGGTCGAAGCCAATGATCCAAGATACAAACCCGGCTATTCCCTCGCTGCTTCTCTGCAGCAGATACTGACTTATATTTTAATGTGGCAGCGGCTTGAAGGCTTTATTAAAATAATTAGTATCAACGGATACCGACGCCCGTTCGAACGTTTCTGGCAAAATTTCGCAGCGAACTTTCGGAGCGGGGGGAGAAGGTTTATCAGAAGGGGCACCATTGCAGAAAAACGAGAAGACCCGCTATCAACTCTTACTTTGATATCTCCCAAGTATTCGCTCGTGAAAATGATAAATTCCGTTTTTATAAGCAAATGTACGCGGTAAACACAGAAATTTCCTTGAATTGTATCAGTAAAAGTGTCTATTATAACGTTTTTTTGTAGCGCTCCCTAAATAATTGATTCCATCAATCAAACTCCATAAGAATAATTTTTACTTTTTGTAACTGTTTTTTTTTTTTTTTTTTTTTTTCATCCATCTCAGACAAATTGTTACGTTTTGCATGTATGCGCACATCAATGTATGATTTAATAAAATTTTAATTCACATGGACGAACGAAAACAATTTAATTCTCTTTTCAATTCTAGTTTGAAAAAAAAAGTGTGTTATTGGATGATACATTTTATTAAAAGTGAAATCGAGATTAATTAATATTGCAATAAAAAGTTTAACTGGAGGACGTGATGATAATTTACATTATTACCATTGTTTATTCAAAGTATGGGTCTGTGAACAGAAAGCCCTAATGGCAGTTAATCGTTGAAATGTAATATATTCAACAGAAGAAAAAAATTGAAATACAATGATTAATTTTTATATTTTATTTCACTTGTTTTTTATTTAGTAGAAAATCGTTGTTACCTCCTTCCAAGATTTAAAATAGGATTTATTTTTAGAATTATTTCAAAACGAGATTCTATTGGTGACCTCTCGATATTACGTTTGAAAAGTTTAGAAA